ATTGCCTAACTAACAATGTGTTATCAGACTTTATCCCTCATATTAAGAGGTTTCCTCCATTCCCAGCTAGCGTCCCAAGGGATTTTGAGACTCCAAAAACTCTTTCCACACAATCTAAAAGAGTGAATCCATTTCACCCAAAGAGAGTCCTTACTTATGACGACACTCCAAAAATGGTATGTCATAAGAGAAAGATTCCAAGACTCTAAGGGGCGAATACCTAAGCCACCGCCAGCTTTAGAAATGCATAAGTCTTTCCATGCCACTTTAACCTTGCCATTCACAAGCTCGTTACCTGACCATAGAAACGCTCTCATCAACTTCTCAATGGCTTTGGTCACAACCCTTGGGAGGATAAACATCAAAGCCCAATAAACTTGCATCGAGGAAAGCATAGAAATAACTAACTGCAACCGACCTGCATATGAAAGTTACTTAGTCTTCCAAGATTTCAGCCTTTTTTTCCACCTTTTCAATGAGAGGCATGCAATCAATATGGCAGAGTCTAGAAGAGATCAGATGGACCCCAAGGTACTTCACAGGAACCAAATAGTTTATGTTTTAGGGTAAAGTGATTACTTAATGTGATAATTGATATTGAAGTTTAAACATCTCAATATTGCTTATAACATTTTATCAGTTATGTAGTTTTGCTTTTCTTACATCATTTATCATTAGGGAAACTGATTTGAGAGAGTTTTCCAGTCAGTAGCTTATATATAGTTGATGTTTCCATTAAAAGTTTATCAAATTGTTTTAAAAGACAAGAATTTGTCGGATGAATTTATGTAAAAAATTGTTTTAATAACCCAACGGTTAAATATTCACTCTACCTGATATTGCACAACACTTGGGTGAATGACAATTTCCCTCTTAAGGTTTTCTGTAATTACATTTTTCCCACCCATAAACTCTGAGAAAAACAATTTCCCACCTATTGTCTACAGGTGAATGGGTTCTGGTACTTGCCCTTTTTTTAAGGAATCAAAACAGGAACTGGCTGATTCCTAAGATTTGGAACCATAACTGGAACCAGAATCGACTTGGAACCAGAACTTCAAACATAGGTTTCGGTTTCAGGTACTCAAAAAAATTACATTTTACCCCCTACCAGTTTAAAAAATGACCAAAAACCCTTAAAAATTACAAATCCCCTCCACTGTTAACAAAAATTACAAATACAGCCTCCACCTCCAATTCAACTTTATGGAAACTAAAAATTAAAAATTACAATAAACCATTAAGAAATCACAAATTCCAAAATTAAAATTATGAAATTACATAATATATAAAATACGTATGATATGGTATGGAAAATGGAGTAGACGTAATTAATTTGGTGGATGTGTCACTATGACTTGAAGTGATCCTTTCTAAGAGTTTTAAAATAAATATTTGATGTACAATATGCTTATAAAGTCTTGCATATAAAGTGATTTGTTGTTATTCTTATACTAACATATCATACAACTTTATTATTATGTATTTATTAAGTTAATTAATCCATTATTTCTTATTGTCACGTTTGTATAAAAGTTTTTGTATATGAATTTTGTATATATAGAATTATTAATTAATTTTTCTTATTTTTTTAGCTGAATGGTCTAAGTCAATTGAAAATTGAATGAAAAATTTTGTGGATGCATTAGGGTTTTTTACTTTAAATAATATTTTCAGTAAAAAGTTAAAATTGGGGTTAGATGGAGAATTATTGAAAAACTATATATATATATAGAATTTTTAATTTAGAGGTGCGAATTAATAAAATTTTATCTTTTAATCAGTCCATTTGACATAAGATAAATTTTTTCTTGCAAACTCTTATCAATTCATCCCTTAAAAGATTCATACTTACGAATACAAATAATTTATATATTGTTGTAATTAATAGAGTGAAAATTAAGTTTTTGAACTTGCCCATAAGTTAAATTAACATTAATTATGACAAAAGAATCAAATTAAATATTAATATTGATATAATTTATAAATCTTTAATTAAATAATTAATATGACTCTAAGTTTGTTTTATGTCATTAATTAAAGTTTGATTACAAAAAAACTTACCTTTTCTTAATATACTATGAGTTGCCATACTATAATGTTATAATTAATTAAATATCTAATTATTTAATTTAGTATTATTTATTAATTTATCTTATATAATTACAATAGATATGTTTAGAACTTGATAATTGAAGTAAATATTATTTAATCAAATATATTATTTTATTAAAAAATAATTCTTTTAATAACATGAAAAAACTTTTAATTGGATCGTAATTCTAGTTATACACTTAATTAATCAAATAACCCTAAGGGGGCGTTTAGATTATATAATATTTTATTATAGGGGGATATTATATTAACGGAATAAAAAATCATCTTGAAGATTACTAAGAATGTTTAGAATATATGTTTTGTTGGTTCGAATAAATTGGTGAATAATATGTTTGATCGGGAGGATAAATGAGTGGGCATGTTATATAGATTACTAAATTGCTCTCATTTTTAAATATTAATATAATCGTATTTTTTATTATTAATTTTTGAATAATTTCTTTTAACCTCCAATTCTTCAGTTTTAGCAAGAACACCCTAACAATAAAAAACGTTTTAAACTTAACAAAAACACCCTTATCCACAACAAGCCACTGCCGACAGCCAGCCATAGCTCTGATTGTGACGTTGGTAGTGCCATAGATTTGGCCATGGCCGTTTCATAGCCACGGATTTGGCCGTGAAATGTTAATCGTTTCCGACCATGGATCTATGATCCACCAAGGAAAAAGGCCTCACTGGCGCATGGTCGGCCATATACGATCGGTCATACGCCATTATGCGATCGTACGCCATTATGACGACTTTTGGCAACCGCCGGTGGTGGTCCATGGTGGCTGGCGGTGGTGACTAGTTCTGGGTATAATGACATTTTTGTAAATAATGATAATAACAAGGGCAATATCATCTGGAAAATTTAAAAAGTGAGGAAAAAAGGATCTGCATGAGTGAATTATGTGTTTTGTAAATCTTAACAAATATAAGGTTAATTTGGACAAAATGCTCAACTGTTTAGGAGCAATATGAGATACAAAATTAGATTACCTTGGCTAAGTTTTAATAACAGCCCTCCTAAGGTATTAAGATTCCCGATAACTTACCCCCCAAATGCCACTGTTTGTCATAAAAGATTTCGGGAATATTTTTTTTTTATAAATTTACCAAATATCAGTCATCAGCTCAATTTAAAAAATTTGAGTCAATTTAAAAAATATTACTCAAATGATGTAATATTAACCCTATCCAAACTGTAACATTATAATATCTTTTTGTAAAAATATTTATATAATATTTAATATAATGTATTGACCAAGTGGGGCCCCCACCTGCTTCGCCACGTCACCCACGTGTATCTTCATTCTATTTTGAATTTTTATATGTAAAATTCCTTAGACCCCTCATTCTTTACTGATATTCATTCTAGTCCTAGTTACAAGACAGGTTCCATCCAGGGTGGCCGACCTTGGTTCCTATTCCAGGTTTCAGGTCTGACTTATGCAGGTATCAGAATCAGACCGCACAACGTCGGTTCCAAAAAATTGAAACCGAAATCTATCTTGTGAAGGCTGATTCTAGGTAGGTTCCAATTCCAATTCTGGTTTTACCCGTCGGTTCCAGTTCTACTCGCTACTCATGCTCACCCCTACTATCGTAAATCTCAGTCAATGGAATATGTTACTTGATAGGGGTAAAGCTAGAAAAAGACTATAATACCCTTTACTATTTGACTTTATATTTTATAACAAGGCTGAATAACATTTTCCCACCCAAACTTTATTAAATATATTTTTCACCCTTAGTTTGGTTTATATTAACTTTAGGGTTAATAAATTTAAAAATAAAGCCAATTATTAAAATAAAAAAGGGAAAATAAAATATTATAAAAATTTGAAAAAAAAATTACAAAACTAAAAAAAAAAGTTAGTCGGGATCACTGGGTGTGATTCCCGTCGAATCACACTCGGTCAGGTGCGAATCAATTAGAATCGCACCCAGTTGGGTGTGATTCAGGCCAACTATTTTTTTTCATAATTTTTTATTTTCATATTTTTCTTCTTTTTTACAATTTTTAGTTCTTTGGAAATTATATTTGTATATAATTCCATAAAATATATACAATTTTAATGAAATATTATTTTGTAGTTTTATAAATATTTAATTGACAGATATTATTACAATTTTAAAAAATACTATATACAATTTAATTTTCTTTTTAGAAACACATTATAAAAGTGAAACCTCCATTGTAACGATAGAAATTGAAGATAAGGGTTTAAAAGGCTAATTTTCAAGTTGGTAAAGTTAATTTTACAGTGTTTGTAATTTAGGGGTATAAGAAACATTAATTCTATAATATATATTGTGCAAACCGACAAAATTCATTTTTACTGATAAAACTAACGTCTGAAATTTAATGATAGGTTGAAAAATGTTTTCTTTTAAACAAAATTTTATCCAATAAGAACCAAAACACCAAAGCATAATATTGGTAAGGGAGGGAAAGTGATCGGTGAGAGAATGTTGAAAAACATTTTCTGATCCTTTTACATTGTTGGCTCATAGGTTTATTGATGGCTTTTCTTTTTGGGTATTTGATTTGTGTTGGATTCATGTCAACTGAAATTGATGACGAGGTTTGATATAGAAGAAGATGTCGGGTATTTATTTGAGAAGATAAGGTTTTTCTGGTGTAACGATAAGAAGATTAAAAAAAAATATTAGATGGTATTTTAGTCCTTTGACCTCGTTTTGACAGTTACTAACAATATTCGTGGTAAGAGGTAAATGTCACTATCACAAAAATTTGGACTAAAATGTTACCAAACCAAATTTAAAGGACTAAAATGTTCTTAACTCCAACCGCGTAACGAAAGCGATAGCAAGCAAATGGCTTTATTTATCTCTTTATTTCATATTTAAAATAATACGAAGAAGCTCTGCTCATCAAAAACCCACTTGTTGAGCAGCTCTTCCATTAGAAGAAGACTGATAAAATTTCCAATCTTTTGTTTTCAGAAAATTTGCTTGCTGATTTTGAAAGAAATAGAAACACTGTTAAGTGATTTGGTTGTCAATTGTTGAAAGAAATAAGTACTGTTAAGTCGAGTTGATCAATGGAGAGCCATTTGCAAGAAAACTTTGATGTTAGATCAAAACATTCGTCCGCCGAGGTGTCGGAGAGATGGAGAAATCTCTTTGTAGTTGTCAAAAGTCCCAAACGAAGGTTTCGATTCACTGCCAACCTCTCCAAACGTCACGAGGCTGATGCTATGCGCAAAACCAATCAGGTCCGTTAATTAGCTGCTTAAATTAATGACGATTTGCTTCTACATCACTCATCATCTTTCTAATTTACTTTAATTAGACTTTGAACAATTAATGACGATTTGCTTCTACATCACTGTTCATCTTGTTTTTACATTTTCCCTGGAGGTTGAGGTTGGACTGCAATAAGATTGTAAGAAACTCTGCTTTCATCTGCCTAAAGTTATGGCCACAAATTTCCATTGAAGTGGTGATAACTCAGTTTTGTATTTTAATTCAAGTTTTCATGGATACAAGTTAGATAAAAATAGAATGGCAATTTTAGAATATCTTTACTACCTAAACTTGCATTATTGTATTCAAACTTACAGCAAATGCCACGACTAATTCCCTAATTTAAAATTTTAATTTTTAATGAATCCTAAGGATTATATGTTTAAATTCTTCATTACACATTTTTTGTATGCATGCCTCATCTAAATTCTATAACGAGTTTTTTTTTTTTTTAATTTCTTGCTGACTATTGATGTTATTGATTGGTAACTGAGTGGCGTAGCTGTGATTCTAATTACAGTGTTCAAAAGCGGTTAACCGAACCGGTTAACCGTTTTTTGAACCGAACCGGTTTTTCGGTTTGGGAAAATTCCTGAACCGAAACCGAACCGGTTTGAAGGGAAAACCGGTTTTCCGGTTAACCGAAAAACCAGTTAACTGCTTTTTTTAAAGCGGTTAACCGGTTTTCCCTTTTTTTTTTTATAAAACTTATTTTTTTTATTTTTTCCTAAATTAAATTGTAAATATAAATAATACATATCCAAATAAAAATTAGACATTCATATATATCCATTGACCACTACTAACGATACATTAAAAATATTATTATTTTTTATTTAATATATAATATATAATATTATTATTTTTTATTTAATATATAATATTTATTTTTTTTTGTAAAACCGGTTCAAAAAACCGGTTTCGGTTAACCGCTTTTTATTTTTTCCCAAACCGGTAACCGAACCGGAAATTCGGTTTTTTGAATTTTTCGAACCGTAACCGAACCGTTTTTTCGGTTAACTGGTTTTCCGGTTCGGTTCGGTTTTTGCATTTTTTTGAACACCCCTACTAATTAGGGTAGTTGAAACAAAATAATTTTTGAAATTTAAATATATAAAATACTTCAAAAAAAAAAAAAAAAAGACAAAACAATAACCACTTGAAACAACAGTACTCAAAAACTCTGCAACAGTTGTCTTTTTTATAATCAACTTAATTTAAGATATGATTTTTAAACTTGGAGATGATCAAAAGTATATAAAATAATTATTTTCTTGCAAAAGTAAAATATAAACTTAGAAGGAAACATTTGTTGTCGCGGGAACATAAAATCCAAAGTCTATTAGCATTAAAAACTTATTCTGGGAAGGCCATTTGAAGATGAAATCATTTATTTATATGTGTATCTGTCAATAAGTTGCCACTTACAGGCCTGGGCTGGCCATGCCTGTATGTGGCTCCACCCATGGTTGTTAACCTTTCTCCGAGTTGCTCTTTTGTTTCTAGCTGATGTTATTTGGTTGGGTTCTTAATTTTTTATATTCTGTCTTTCTGAATCAACTCCCACATTTTCTTTTGCTTTCTGTGGACAGTTTTATGACATTCAACACGGTACATTTTCTTTTTGGTTTTTCTACCTTGCAGGAAAAGTTGAAGATTGCTGTTCTGGTTTCCAAAGCTGCAATTCAATTTCATATTGTAAGGTTCTTCTCAATTTAAAAAATGCATTAAAATTTGGATCTTCTTCACTCTTCTCCTCCACTATTGTTTCGAATTTCTTGTAAATACCAAACCTCAAGTGAATACAGGAAGTCATAAAGGAAACAAACAAAGTTGAATTAGAGAATTAGGGAACATCAGATTTCATACAATGTTTATATACCTGGACCGGGCCTTGACCCAGTCAAGGGGCGATCCCTAGGTCGGAGGGCCTGACCAGCGGGTCAGACCAATGATGTCATGCTGAGGTCTGCAATATATTTTACTAGAAAAAAGAACAATAACGGGCGTTCCTATTCATAGGAACAGTTGTTCCACAAGATGGACTGGATTGATTTGACGGTTGAATCGACGGTACAGATGTTGATAAGAGAACAAATATTAGGAAATAGGTGAAAGATCTAACCAAAGTTAAGAACTTTTCTTGGAAAACTATTCATTTTCAAGTTCTAATCACATCTTTTCAACTCTAACCTTACTGTTACCAAGTTAACTATTTGATTTATATGGTGTCCAGGGGCACTTTATTAATTTGCTTGGTGGATTTTTGCTAGATTAATTCTGTTTACACTATTTTGTTTTGTTTATGCACTTCAGGCTACTTTCAAAGCTAATGCTCTATCCCTTTTTCCTGAGACTAAAAGCTCTACACCCCTTTTGTCTGGGACTGAGATCAATCAAGAAGCACATCACATAAGAAATGACTCAAGCCAAAAGGTAAGCAATCCACCAAAACATTACCCCTGTATTAAAGTATGAATCTAAAGTTTGATATATTAATTTATGTAGACATTAAAATTATCTTTGGAGACGTTAATTTAATATGATATTGCCTTTTTTTTAACCATCTCGTCACGTTAATCAAGTTTTTACTTAAAACAAATTCCAGGATAGTACAGAGGAGGAAAATATCGACAACATCCATCCTAGTCATGGTTCGCCCATAGAATCCGAGTGCTTCAGCTGCACGGATGTTGATAAGAGAAAAGATATTAGGAAAAAGGTGAAAGATCTAACCAAAGTTAAGAATTTTTCTTGGAAACCTATTCATTTTCAAGTTCTAATTACATCTTTTCAACTCTAGCCTTACTGTTACCAAGATAACTATTATTTGATTTATATGGTGTCTATGGAGACTTGATTAATTTGCTTGGTGGATTTTTGCTATATTAATTATGTTTACACTATTTTGTTTTGTTTAGCCACTTTAGGATAATTTCGAAGCTAATGCTCCATCCCCTCTTCCTGAGACCAAAAGCTCTACACCCTTTTTACTTAAGACTGAGATCAATCATGAAGCACATCACATAAGAAATGACTCAAGCAAAAAGGTAAGGAATCCACCAAAACATTACCCCTATATTAAAGTATGATTCTCAAGTTTTGATATATTAATTTATATAGACATTAAAAATATTGTTGGAGAACTCAATTTAATATGATATTTCATTCTTTCAACCATCTTGTCAAGTTAATCAAATTTTTACCTCAAATGGTTTCCAGTATAGTATAAAGGAGGAAAATATCGACGACATCCATCCTAGTCATGGTTCGCGCACAGATTTCAAGTACTTCAGCCGCAGGGATGTTGATCTGAGAACAAATATTAGGAAAAAGGTGAAAGATCTAACCAAAGTTACGAATTATTTCAACTCTAAACTTACTGTTACCAAGATAACTTTTCTATTTATATGGTGTTTATGGAGACTTGATTAATTTGCTTGGTGGATTTTTGCTAGATTAATTCTGTTTACACTATTTTCTTTTGTTTATGCGCTTCAGGATAATTTCGAAGCTAATGCTCCATCCTCTGTTCCTGAGACTAAAATCTCTGCACCCCTTTTGCCTGAGACTGAGATCAATCATTTATCACATCACAAAAGAAATGACTCTAGTCAAAAGGTAAGCAATCCACTAAAACATTACCCCTATATTAAAGTATGAATCTCAAGTTTTGATATATTAATTTATATAGACATTAATATTATTGTTCGAGAACTCAATTTAATATGATATTGCCTTCTTTTAACCATCTCGTCAAGTTAATCAAGTTTTTAGCCCAAATGGATTCCAGGATGGTATAGAGGAGGAAAATATCGACGACATCCATCCTAGTCATGGTTCACCCACAGATTTTGAGTACTTCAGCTGCACGGATATTGATTAGAGAAGAAAAATTAGATTAAAGGTGAAAGATATAACCAAAGTTAAGAATTATTATTGAAAACCTATTCATTTTCAAGTTCTAATTGCATCTTTTCAACTCTAACCTTACTGTTTCCAAGATAATTATTTGATTTATATGGTGTCTATGGAGACTTGATTAATTTGCTTAATGGATTTTTGCTATATTAATTCTGTTTACACTATCTTTTTTTGTTTATGCACTTCAGGATAATTTCAAAGCTAATGCTCCATCCCCTTTTCCTGAGACTAAAAGCTCTACACCCCTTTTGCTTGAGACCGAGATCAATCATGTATCACATCGCATAAGAAATGACTCAAGTGAACAGGTAAGCAATCCACCAAAACAATACCCCTATATTAAAGTATGAATCTCAAGTTTTGATATAGTAATTTATATAGACATTAATATTATTGTTCGAGAACTCAATTTAATATGATATTGGCTTTTTTTAACCATCTTGTCAAGTTAATCAAGTTTTTATCTCAAATGGATTCCAGGATAGTACAGAGGAGGAAAATATCGATGACAACCATCCTCCTCATGGTTCGCCCACAGATTCTGAGTACTTTAGCTGCACGGATGTTGATCAGAGGACAAATATTAGATTAAAGGTGAAAGATATAACCAAAGTTAAAATTTTTTCTTTTAAACTTATTCATTTTCAAGTTCTAATTACATCCTTTCTTGCTGAAGAAATTGGAATTGTCCATGGTTGTTGCCAATTTAGTTTGTGAGGTTTCAACAGTCATTTTCGATCAGCTTTCGTCTCCACACAAGTCCCTTTTTGCTCTAATTGCTACACTGACATCTTTCTTCACCGTAGGATTTTGCATTATTGAGATTTGTTGCAAGTGTAGTCAGGGAAAGTATGTCTGGAACATGGAAGGCAAGTTTTATTGGTTTTATAATGCAGGAGATGGCAAGCCTTTTGGTTCAGTACTGGATATCATTGGAATTGTTTCTGGCACCCTTCAGTTTATTTTAACAGCTGTTGCTTATGGGATATATTATTCTCAACATGTTAATAGTCCTATTAAACTGCACATTTGCTCCATCGTCTTTGCTTTTGTTCTGTTATGCTCAAAAATTATTGTTGAGAAGCAGAAGACATGGCAGCATTTTGAGAGCTCTGAATGTTAGCACATAGATTAGAAATTTTTGAATTTGGACAGATTGATGGGATGCATTTCAAGTTCTATTGGAAGAGAAAGCTGAAGGCATTTCCCGAGTATGTTTCAAAAAATTCCTGTATCCAATCAGGTATGCAGGATGGATTTGATGTTGAATGATTGTTACTCTAATTTCTTTCTTTCTTTTATGAAACATATGTAGGACCTCCATTTTATATTCATTTGTATGTATATCAAGCAACATGATCGAATAATGGGACTGGATGGGTTTCGGCTGTTTTTGGGTGTGATACCTGATGATAAGTATTGGGTAGTTGGTTTTTAGATAGCAATGGAACAATATATTCTATCAGCTAAGAAATTTCTGTCTTTGAATTGAAGCTTACAATTTGCACCTCAATCTAAATGTTTACGAGTTTAAACCAATAAGAAGAATAAAGTGAGAAATACAGTCTTTAACCCAGTAAATTTTGAGTTTTCTAAACTCTAGTCATTTTGTGATGCAAATCTGTAATTGACAAAATATGGACAAACCCAACTATAAAATCTATTCTTTAAAACCATCTCTTTCATCCAGAGTCCAGACAACACTTGAGACGGTATACAATATAGTACTTATGCCTCCGAATTTAGAGGCACTACTTTGATTGTTCGGAATCTATATATTTTTTCAAGCAAAATCTTGACATGATTTATTTTATTTGGTTGACCAATCATAAAAATATTTTCATTAAACTTGTGCAGGACAGACATGAAAGATAACATGAAATCCGGTGGGAAAGCTTCATTAAGAAACTGATAACATTTCAGATCATCAGGAATTGTAATTGTAAATGAGAATGAATTTATGTGGAAAGAATTTAGAGAAAAAAAGGGCTTTGCCTTATGCTATTTCTTGTAAATTTTATATCAAGTTCATTGTTTATAGTGAAACAATCTAGAGAGTAATCAAAACTAAACAAGTAAATAATCACACACAAATAACGTAAACAGTAAAGAGAGAACACACGCGCGATTTACCTTGGTTCACCGAAAAAGGGATTACATCTAACAAAGTCAATATTATTGAAATATCTTTTCATCTCTCTCGTTACAATTAATATATTTGTCTATGATTTGCTATATCACTCATACAAGTGAACAATATGCTTTTATACTAGGCTTATCAAAGAAAAAAATCTAATATCACTAGAATCTCTATAGCATCTTCTTGTTCTTGTTTGATAACTCTATCATACAATGTTTTAATATATACATGTCACACTTATCAGCGTTTGATCCTCGTTTGAACTTAGCAACATCAAAGACCAGTGTAGGTGTGAGATTTAGGATCATCGAGGCCAAAGTAGAATCCTAATATATCATCAATTAATCTTTTACCATATTACAAGCATAAAAATAGATGTATGTCTAAATCCAAATTTCAACTCTCAACATTTTGGAAGATTTTTGTATTGTATGTATTTATACACATAAAAAGTTCTTAAATGTGATGTCTACATTTTAAAGTAAAGATTCATGTTAAAGGACAAAATTTTATAGTTTTTAATATAAGAGAGTTTGATTAAATTTCTGTTTGAATGTTTATCGATTTTAGAAATCATTTAACGATATTATCTAACAAGATTCATATACTTAAAAAAACTCCGAACAACCACAACCCATTAACTTCACATTATTATTATTTTCATAGAGCTCTTATCTTTAGATTTGACAATAATCAATTACGAAGAATAAATTATATTTACTATTCATTTAAGAGATAACTGTCTTGGGAGTGACATATTTATAAGAAAATTATTTCACTTCTTTTCATCTCTCCTCTCTCACCTTTTATTTTTTATCTTTTCTTTCCTCTATGCGTTCATCAAATTATTTTCAATAAATTCAAACTTATTGGGAATCAATGTAGAAAGAGCTTTCGGAAGGAGTTAAGTTCAAAGAGCCCAAAAGCATCTTAAGCTCTTACATACCTATGTGTATGGACCAATAAATTCAAGTTCCCTTGGTAAAAGTAATTACTTTTCTCTCTTATTTATGATTTCTTAAGAAAAACTTGGCTAAATTTTACGAAGCAAAAGTCAAAAGTATATGGAGCTTTCAAGAAGTTCAAAACTATTGTCGAGAAAGAAAGTATATCGATATCAAAGCCATGAGATCTAATCAAAGAGGGGAGTTGACATCTAAAGAGTTTTAAGATTTTTGTGAAACCAATGGAGTTCGTCGACCCTTGGTGGTTCCAAGATTCCCTCAATAAAATAGTATGGTAGAAAAGAAGAATAAAACCATCATCAACATAGCTCGTAGCATGCTTAAAAGCAAGGAAATGTCAAAAGAATTTTTGGCGAAAGCTGTGGTGTGTGTGGTCTACCTATCAAAATTGATCACCAATGAGAAGTGTGTGGGTGAAGAACACCGTAAGAAGCGTGGAGTGGGAGAAAGCCTCAATCTTCTATCTAAGAGTATTTAGAAGTATAGGCTATGTATATGTATGGAAGGAGAATAGGAGCAAGCTTGATAAATCAGCATAAAGAACAATTGATGCCCAAGATAATTACCAGGCCACTTCGCGTTCCAAAAAGATGTATTGGGCTTCACACAAAGGTTTCTTTTCTTAACCCTTTCCAGGAGATTGGTAGGCCCAAGTCGTTTCATGGCACATTTTTGGTGGGTTATGGTGTTGTATAATAGGGTGTCCAATAAGGCTTACTAAGGCTGTAGTATTTCTTTGAATTAGGCCCACTAGGGGGATTCTAATGAGATACCTTACTCTTAATAAACAATAAGCAATGAAAGTTAATTATAATAGCCCAAGCCCAAGTTGTTTTCAAATTAATTTTACAAAATTATAAAAAACCTCCCTGTTAATGCCCACTTTTGTGAATAAGGCCCAACGTGGCCCAAGAAGATTTCAGAGGTCACTCCGCATTCCAACAAGGTGTATTTTGTGGAACCCAAGAATCAACTGTTTGGGCCCGTCTTGCAAAATAATCCTCGGAATCAACTATCCAAGTTATGTGTTCCATGCCCAAGGATCAAATTTTTGGGCCTTTGTGTGAAGTAATCCCAGGAATCAACTAGCTAGGCTTTATGTTGAATAGTTCTGGGTATCAACTATTCGGGCCTTGAATGTAGAGATATTGCTAGAATCAATTGCGTCAAATAACCTGAGGAGAGATCATTCGGGCTTTGAACACAAGAAAGGTCTTCTTGAAGTCTTCATTTAAAGTTAGAATCTTGTACAGGCCATCTGATGAAGAATTGTGCCTCCTTGACAAAAATGATTGTCAACAAAGGTAAGAGAAATCATAAGAATTTCACATTAAACTCTATTTCATCTCCAATTTGTGTTATTTTTATGTTTAGTGAACTAGGCTACATCAATATGCTTTCATGCAATATATTTGTAAAACTAATCAATAAAACATTAGTATGCTTATCTCGTGTTAACAGAATTGGGTTTGCTTATTCGTGACTTTGATTTATCTTTTTATCTACACTTACCAATTTATAGTACTTCAATTTGTTAATTTAATAACGTTATGGAATCATGTCATTCTTAGTATTTATGTAGTCATCCCTTAGTCATATAAAAGATTATTTTTTCCTAATACATGAAATATTAATTCAAATTTAGAAAAATAAAAAACATATAAGAATTTTAGTTTTATATGTTAGATGAAGATTTTGATTAGAAATTAAGGGCCTGCGACCGCATAAATTAAGGGTATCCAAGTTTCAGAGATCTGATTTTGTTGGCCTAGTGAGGGACAAATGGTTGGAGAAGAGAGCTCGGTACCTTTTTGACGTTTTGTAGCCCATAATCATTGTTATGTCATTACTTTATATCCATTCGGTTGACAGTACTTTGGTATTCAAAAAACAAAATAATTAATCTATAAAACCGCGTACCTTTAATTACTTTAAATTACAACATCTACAAACCATGTGTTTAGATAGATAGCCTACTTTATCTCATTAAATTAAAAAAATTATTATCTTACAAGATGACTTATCTCCCTTTCTAATATTGAGTTAATTTATATCATTTATTATAAATGATATAAATTAAGAACTGAAAGAGGTAACTAATACAATGTTAAAATGATTTAAACTACAATTTTTTACATTGTATTACATCAAATAAATTATAATGAAACATCTACAGTCGTGTGAAAATAATGTGAGAAATTGTATAAAAATATTGTTTTATAATGGAATCCTCTTCCTAAGTGTACTTTCTAAATCAATAAAATTCAAGAGTTCACGTTGTCTTAGATATATGAAAATAATGTTAATAATATAATCTAATTTTTTAGTTAGAAATTACACTATATTAATGATGATCATATAATTATTGATATAATAATAGAATGATATTATAAAATATATACAAAAAAAAAAATATGTAACTATTTGTATTGCCCAAATTTTCCCTAGGGCAAAGTATAATTTCTTTAGCCGATATTACTTCCACCCTAAGTAAATAATCCAAGATGTTCCTTAATCCTTATAATAAGAAGTAGAATTATTATTAAATGAGGAATCTAGGAAATAAGGAAGTGGATGTGGACAAGATATGATCCGAAAAGGGAAAGAGATCCCACATTCTCGTCAAACTCTCACAATCATTTTCCTATACAAAGTCCTACTATGGTATTTTCGTCAAACTCTAGATAAAGGGAGGCTAATGACAAATAACAACAATTCATATGGAAAAACCATCTGTTAGAGCATTCCTCTCATTCCTTTTGTAACCCTACAATCCCACTGGAACTTTGCTGTTTTCCATAGGGGTAGGGACTGGCGTTGCAATCAAGGACTACTGTAAAGAGAGGACGACTCCAAAAATACCAATTCGGGGGAAAATAGTGCAAGGTTAGTGTGGTCCAAGGGCAAGATCGTAACTTCTTTTAGCATTAACAATTGTCAATTGGCGCCATTTGTGGGGAATCAAACAGAAAGTCGTATTAGTGCTGGAGGAAGACAACCAGGAAAAAAAGACGCCCTAAACGCTACAGTGACATCTGCCAATGCTGGTGACATCCTCTTGATCAGAAACCCTTCGAGCGCGATGGTTGCACTAAAAACCCTTCTAAGCCACAACAATGAATGACTCGTTGTCCGTTGACCCCAACACATCTAGGCCCCCAAGGGTAGAGTTACCCCAAGATCAGTACACCGATATGCATAACAAAATATGTGATGAAATTCTTAATTGGCTGACCGCCCAAGCCATACAAGGACAACCAGTGAACCTTAACAACGAGCACGTTGATGCCCAGGAAAATCAGAACCAAAACAACTAAGGAAGATCAAGAGGGATCTCAAGCTAATTCCAGTAAAGAGAATCACCGAGAGCGAGAAGTGAGAAGGA